AATACGAAAATCGCATTTTATTTAAAATATCAGCATTAATTAAATATGAATAAGATCGATTGATTACAGAAATAATTGCATATTTTGACACAGCAAATTTAATTATAGTTTGTTATTATTAGTTTATATTTAATCATTTAATGAAAAAGAAGGTTTAAGGAAGGTTCGATAACACGAGAAGGTAGCTTTATATTATTAATTTGTCTTATACAACTTAAAAATATTATATATACAATAATAATTCCCAAAATTTTTAATGATATTTCTTCTCTTTTATAGGTTAAAATCGACATTTTAGACGATGTATAATTCATGACAAAATCCTGGAAAATATTTCATTTGTATTTTTACGAGTAAAAAAAATAATGTCGAACTATTATTGTAAAATTTCTACTCACTTGTCTTACAAATTAGTCACGAATTCGAGCAATGTTAATCTGAAAAACGTCTGGGCATTTTGAGGTCGATGACCCGCAAAACCCGATCGTATTTCTGTCATTCTATTAATGTATACTCGACGTAAAATCGATGTGAAAAGATCTCATTGAAAAATCCGGTGAAAAAACTATATTTTGATAATAAGTGATAATAATTAAATATAATTAAACATAATAAGGGTACGTAAATAATATTTCGGTCTCTATTAGATGCGTTTGTAATCGTTTCATTAAATAATACATATAATATATATAATTGTATACAATATATATGATCAGATTTTTCGCGGCAGCTTTTTAAATTTTAGAATCAGTAATGATAATATAATAAAGTATAAAATTAATAGTAATGTATTAACAAAACATTGTGACTGTTTTTATTAATAAAAATTTTAATTCAATTTTTTTCTTATTTAATTTTCTTTTCAAATATTAATTTTTGAGTAATACATAATTAAAAAATAAATTATAGGAACATAAGTAGACAAAAAAATATTTGATGCTTAATTATTTCTTTAATTTTAATCCCAAATTTATAATGTTATTAAGTTAAAAAGATACCTCTTCCAAAAAAAAAATTTATATATATAGAAACGTTTGAAATATGAAGCTATATTTTAGTTACTTAGTAATACTCAAGACAATAATAATTGCTAAAGAAATAAGTTTTTGTTAACGTCGATTTATTCTTTTTCTTTTTCTAGATAAAGTTACGTCATCCCACTTGGCGCCAAGAAGCACTGATATCTCGTATGAGTAATCATACAATTACAGTGCACTCCGAGCGAGATTACATAATGCATCGTGAACGAATGTACCGGCTTAGTCCCGGAAGTGTGACAAACTGTTCTCAGCAGTCCTAATCGCAGAATAGATGACACATCAGTTGCATACAGTTTAACCTTATGATCAGACAAGTTGCACCGCACAAAACAGGGAAGATATTTGTGGCACACAATTATTAATTATTATTAGTATTATATTATTATAATTATCATTATTATATTATTATATTATTAATTAATATTTATTTGTCGGATTATATGTTTCAACAATTACATTGTCTCGAGCATATTAAACACATTACAGTGGAAAATTATATATAAATTTGACAAGACAGTTAATAACAAGATAAATGATAAAATACAAAAACCTTTGAAGAATGAAATTGAAAGTGATTAAATTGTTTCGTTGATTTTTAAAATTTTAAAGCATTTTCTTTTTGATGTGTATCGCGTATCGAAATGTTATATATTTTAGCATAGTTATATATTCAAGCATTTATTAAATTAATGCACGAAAATAAAACTCTTTTAAAATTTTAAGTGGTTGAAGCGAGTTTGTGTTACACGTGATAAATTTAGAATAATTTATAGAAGGAGATATATGCAAAATTCTTCCGCGTTCAAGATTTTAGAAGAAAAATACAGAATTTACAATCGGCCATAACATAATTTAAACAAGCATCATTCACGGTTCATCATTAAAGGTGAAAAATTTATGATTCTTCTTGCTACCGATTTTTCGAATAATTTATGCGAATACGAACTTCAAAACTGTTCTCGCGTTATTTCAAGACATATCCTAAGAATATCGATGATAAAAGTGCTACATTTTCATAAAAACTTGCATACATTTCATAATTAAAAAAAGATAAGAAAAAATATGATTGATGGAGGGAATGTGCATAAAAAAAAATCCGATTAAACAGCTGACCCGACTCCGGGTCAATTCTAGGCAAAATTCGAATTCTGAAGTTTTAAACAGGATTATCGATAATCAACTTTAATGCAATCTCAAAGACCTGTCACATTTGAATTAACTTTTACGTATAAAGATAAAATCAATAGTCCTATATAGATAATAGCAGACGCAAAAGGAAAAAAGAAAAGCTGCTGAAATAGCTCGTATATAAAGCTTTAATGTTATACGCGAAATGATGTTAATGTTGATTGGCAATTACATCACTTGAGTGCTCTATAGAATTAAGTACGTTCATTAATCCTTCATAATCGTTACGAGGTTTCACTCGACGTCTTGATAAAGGCTGCACTTGCGACTCAGCGCCGTAATAAAACAACCGTCGAGAGTATCCCGAGGCATCCGCGTCGACAAAAGAGCCTCGTAAATCTCGCGTCATTGCGTCGCCGCGGATTTAAAACCGGTTGGCCGACGATGGGGAATCTGCCGCATGTAACCAGCTGCAACCTACGATTTTTATCACGATTTTCATATCGTACAATTACGAAACCGTCGCGGCTGTCAAAACGCATTCCGTGCGCATCAACTATAACGTTTCCGTATGTATATGATCGCCGTCAAGGTCGATCTTTGCGAGAAAAGTGCTGTCCCGTCTTTTAGCATTTGCTTTCAACCCAAGTAATGAAATCACTGATTGCATCAATAATTTTTAATTAATTCATATATTTTTTATTTATCATGATGTTAAAATACGTGAGCCTTTATAATTGCAAGTAAAATGATAATTACAGGTAATATGACGCCATTAAATGTCACTAGTTTTCATAATTAATGCATGAAATACGCAAAATAAAATATATTTTATTTACACGATATAAATTCAAATATTTTTACATTTATAGAAGAGTAAGGAAAAAAATCGAAAATTCTGATAATTCTTAATTAATGATCGTGTTGAAAACTCGTTTCTGATAATTTTTTATTAATGATTGTGTTGAGAAGAGATTAATTTTGCAAGTAAATAATGTGAAGGTAAGCAATAAATATCCTAATTTTGTCCTTCTTTAAAAAGCACGCGGGGGGTTCCATTTAAAATGAACATTTCCATACGTGGCACGCATGATCTGAGAGAGATCCTCCGGAAATGACAAGTATCATTTTAAGGATCAAAGCAAAAATTATTGCGTTGCCGCATTAAAGTCGAATTTGCGTATCACGTGACTCTAAACGCTCCTTATTACGACATTACTGACGTATATTTCGTGAGAATGCGTTATTTTAAAGTTCGCTATTTTTATTTCCCTTTCCCCAATTTCCCCTTCCGAGACTACAGTTTTTATCAGTCTCTAGAGAAAGCGAGTAAGCCTCAGATAACTCTTGTATTTCATCATAAAATAGCTTTTTTATCTTTTTTTATCTTTACTATAATGACACTCGTCGGAGATTGCGCGCTCAATAAGTGGATGATGTACGCGTTCGAGATGAATCTTCGCGTTAGATTCATAATCATACGCAATTATACTTTCGTGCCTGTTTTCATGCTGCCCGATCGCCAACATCCTCCCCCACGCGTATATTCTTAATGAAAGGTCTCTAAATGTTCACTTCTTAAACCATGTATCAAGTGTGTGCCACGGTGGCCTGCAGTGCCTAAGTCGCAGTTATACACGTGCGGTATGTTATCATATCGAGGCGTATGTATACGGTAATAAAACGCCGAATTATCATTGCTGAAAGGCACATTCATGTGCAAAATGAAATAATTATATATTAATTTTCGATTGATGTAATTACAGTTAGTAATTATTCTTATACACAGAGTAAAATTAGAAAAGCAATCATCATGTAATTCTAGTGTTATAGAATAAACTAAATATATTTTTTATATAATTTTTTATATAATTTTTAATATAATTTTATATTTTTTATATTATTTAGATTGTAATTCCTTTGATTATCATCTCGATTTAAAAGATGTAATGTTTAAATGTAAGACTTGTATCAAATCTCGCAAACATTAAAGAAGTCGATTGAGACTTTTATTTCACACACATTTGATTTTATAACGTCATCTTTTTTTATGAGAACACGATTTCCAGAATAGTTGAAGAACGGGCTCCAATAAAATCTCGTGATATTTTTACGAATCACCAAGAATTTTGCGACTTTCTGCCGCAACTAACTCTATCCGGCGAATCATCTTAATGGATATTCACAAGAGGCTCATTCGCAATATTTCGGAATTCTAGCACGCCTCTTTAACAGCAATATTAAAATTCTACACGCTGAATATTTCAGAAATATCGATCTGTAGTATTTTTAGGAAACTTTCGGCGTTTCTAGGAAACATTTGTTCGTCTGACTCGATTCTAGCCAAATTAGGTTTCTAGACATCTGGGTGAAATTTCAAATTCTTACTAATTCAGGAACAGGTTTCGCTACAGAAATAGTAAAAACCATATAGTGCTCTTCTTTTCAAATCTCGACAAATTAAGACAAAATTTAATTATATGTATTCTGTTATAAAATGAAGAGATTAAACAAATAGTAAAAAATTGTTTCAGATAATTTGAGATTTCAGATAATTTGAGCTCTAGTGTGAAGAAACAACATTTAATAAAAATTAAAATATCTACAGAAATAGTAAAAACCATATAGTGCTCTTCTTGTCAAATCTCGACAAATTAGGACAAAATTTAATTATATAGTCTGTTATAAAATGAATAAATTAAACAAATAGCAAAAAATTTTTTCAGATAATTTAAGATGCTCTAGTGCGAAGAAAAAAAACACCTAATAAAAATTAAGATAGATCTAATCAAATTTCTTAGTAAAAATTCAATGACTCTTATTGTTACATACATCTGGCGCAGGCTTCGTGCAAAGATTAAAGACATTTTCGCGCGACGTCTAATCGTGCGAGATATGTCCCCAAGGGATTCTGGCTCGATGAGAGAAGGAACAATCCCGGTACTGATCCCGATTCCCCGAGCGAGGCCGCATCGTTTGAAGTTCCGTGTGAATCGGCAGTCTGCGGGGGCAAAAATTTGCAGATCTTTTTTTTCTTCCGACACGCGTGTGTAGGCGTCGCGTCGTGACCGCCCGGGAGCACGTGATTTATTCACGCGAGTGAAGTCACGCATGGCGGAAAAAGAAATTGGAGCCGATGCTCCGTGTGAAAAAGATACAGAAATAAACGCGAAGGGGAGAAACTACCGACTAAACTACGAAAGTCGCTGATACATTATGGAATTTTTCTCATGAGAGAGATAATAATTTTGAGCATCAAAATCGAGATTTTCAAAATCGCAAAAGCAAGTATTATAACAATGATAATGAAATATTTATTATAAATAAAATATTTTCTATTAAAGATCACTCTTCTCTTATCATTGTGTTTTTCATTTATTACGAAATAATTATTATTATAAAATATTTATTATAAATGAATTATTTTCTATTAAAGATCACTCTTCTTTTATGACTGTGTGTTTTTCATTTATTATGAAAAAAGATATTAAAAAATAATAATTTCGTGCCGAAATTCGAATCATACTGAGAATCTTCTATCTCAATAAAAATGACCGCTATATATCAGTGATATTCATGAATGGTCGGAAATAAATCTCAATTTAAAAACACCTATAGAAAGAATCAATTCCAAGTATATTGCTCAAGACGAATCCTAAGAACAACTTAATCTCTTATATAACATCTCACACTTTCTATACACATATATCTTTTTTTATTTATCGAGCTGAATAGATTTCTCTTTAGAATACAAGCTGTATGTCTAGAAAAAAACAATTTATAAAACTTAATGTAAAATAACAACTTTTTATATATAAATCAATTCTTCTTGTAAATAAACTTGTTATTAAAATTAATTTTTTAAAATTAGAAATAAATATATTAATATGTCAACAGAAAAAATTATAAAATATTCGATCGTAGTAAATTGTTTTTTCAAAAACTTAATTTCTTATAATTAATCTGTTAATGAATTCCGATATTATACGCACGCGTATAAAAAAAGAAAAAAAGAAAAAATAATAATCTGTTGAAAAATAGGCAAATACAAAAACGATTTGATCATATTGACGAAGACAAGTTCACGTCGCTGAACGTTTCCTTGACCGGAAATTCTGTGACAGGTCGAGAATCGATTCGATTTACATGAAGGAAAACGACTACGACCCTGATCTTGTGTCAAGGCCGTAAGACTAGATTACCGAGGCGTGCATTAACGTAAGTATGTGTGCGCGGCAATTAAAACGACTAATTTATGAGCGCGATTTCTACGCGAAGCACACGCGAGTTTTACGATCTCGCGAAAAGGATTCATTGAAAGGGGAAAAACTTGCCGCGGCTTTTAATTAAATATTTTATGCGACTATTTAATTTATCAAATTTTTATATCTGATTTCTTTTTTTAAATAATACATTTTTCCTCCGTAAAAACTCGGTATATGATTATCACTTGCATAAGACGAACGACGATGAAAATTAAGATAAATACGATGACGATAAAATTGCGATATGTTCATGCTAATAAGACATAATGTTACATCATTAGGATACATAATGAAATCCATAACTGTCATGTGGAAACATAAATATTGTTTAAGAGCTTTTGCACGTATATTTAATTATGATTTTATGAAACGTAATTTATAAAAGAAGAAAAGAAAGAGCACATTTCTTTTTTCGCGAATTGCTTTATGTGTCTTGTCAAATCAATTTAAAAAACAATTACTATTAGACGAATTTAATTTATAAATATAACTTATGCCTATTCATGACATCATTAATAAAAGCAATACTGAATATTATTCATAACAATCATCATGTGAAAAGTTAGAATTGAGAGACATATTTGATAAGTATAATTGTGTGTGTATGTGTAAATAAGATTTCAACAAATAATTTAATTGATGTATTTTTTACATTTACTATTAGAGATTCCGATTTCATTTTTATTTAATTTTATTTTGACTTAAATAAGAAAAATAGAAATATAATTTCGTGATAAAATATATGGAAGAAAATTCTAATATTTTTCGAAAAATCGCATTCTTCTCACGTGAGTATATTTTCCTACTTGAGTATTTTTTCAGACTTGATAAGTACTAATGAATAATTAAAAATATTTATTTTTGTTGTACTTTGTCTTATATTTATATTAATATTCTTGACACATAATTACGTCGATATCGAAAACTACGTATATCGGTAAAGAAAACTTTTAAACCAGTTGTTCGAATAAATATATAAATATATAAATGCAAATCTTAATCACTCGACACTTGGAAAATAGCACTTTCCTGATCATTTTTCACGAATACGATGAACGCATTAGGAAGTCGTGTTGAGGAACCTCGTCGCGAGGTTTCATATCGAGAGTTATCAAGTACGCTTATTTACATTGATAAATGATTATAGGCGCAATTTATTTTTGTGTGCTTTATCTTGTATCTATATTAATACTCCTAACTACAATACTGAAAATCACATGTGACATTGGAAACTTGGCGCCAGTAAAGAAAGTTTTAATCCAGCATAAATATATAAATATGCGAACTTTAGTCACAAATCGACATTCTTTGGACAATAATACTTTCCCGATCGTTTCTCGCGAACACGATAAACACGTTGGAAAATTGCGTCGCGGGCACCTAACCTCGCCACGAGGTTTCACGTCGGGAGTCGAAGGTTATACTAGACATTTACCTGCATGCTGTCGGCCGAGATGATTTCCCCAGAGAAGCGACGAGCCAGTTCGATACCCAGTCGAGATTTTCCGGAACCCGTGGCACCCAGAATCACTAGAATTGGCACACGCGACATTTCTACCTCGCTACGATCAACCATCGTGGCTGAGCTGAGCGTGGCGCAATAAATTAAGCGCATGCGCGGTGCCTCTTCGGGCGCTTGCGCGCGGTCCGTCGTTCTGTCACATGCGGAACGTGGAAAGTGAACTCCGCGCTGGGTTTTGAAATAATGACAAAGTCGAGAGATACCCATCGACGATCAGGATGCTTCTTTTATGTTATCTATATATTCCGCATACAAATCCGATATAAAATTTTCAAGCGACCTATATAATTCTCAAAAAAATATTTTATTTATAAATTTATAAATTTTATTTATAGATGATTTATAAAATTTATTTAAAATTTATATAGATTTATATAATATAAATTGTGACATCTATTATGCGTATTGAAAAGAATTATTTATTATACCATTTATTTATGTATTTTAATAATTGATGCTTTATCGCGAATTGTTAGGCAAATAAAATTTACTTTAATTACTGTACGAATTTTATAGAAATTTTTTAGGACAGATAAAGTATTCTTTAATGTATGCGTGAAGAAGTTCTCTAATCTTAATATCTCGAGTTTCTCTCTTTTGCTATATATAGAAAATATAACTACATGATAATACATTAATTATATGAGTAATATACAAATATATATAAACTTTTTGTGATAAACACAACGCGATAGTGAAAAATCTATGAATATTCCTGCAAATCTCGAGAGGCGTTTTGCGATATGATTTATTATATTGAAAAAATAAAACTGGAAATCTGCATAAAAAATTATTCATAACACAAAAATAAATAAAGACATTCTTTGGCAAAATTGGCGCTACTTTGTTTAAATTGAGTATTACATAAGAGCGCTCTAAAGAGAGGCAACAATGAGTTTGCAAATATATTTTGTTTTTTTGAAAAAATTTTAATGTCATCTTTCACATAATCATGTTTAAGATTTAAGATCAAATATCTTTGCATGTAAATGAAAATTTTAAGCTAATCCCATTTTAAATGGGATAGATTAATTTAAAAAGAGATGCATTTTTTATTTACCTATTCGCAAACATTATATATATTTAATATTATTTAATAAATATATTATTTAATAAATTATTAAAAATTGAAAAACGTTGTTATTTCCTCCCTTTACATTTTTGAAAAAATTAATTTTGGATTAATCAAAAAATAGACTGTTTATATTAAGAATTGTGGCATTCTATTTATATAACTGTGAATTTACATAACTGAGAATTTTCCGCACTATTCATGATAAAATTGCATGCTAAACAAAGAAGTGTTTATCGTTCTATATCTATGCGTTCATATAATTATGCTTGAGACCAGCGAAGGCAATATCACGTGCCCAATAGCGTAAATAACTAAAACCATTCGTGCGTATATATGTGTACTGATCTTGACATGTGTATGATACGTCATTCTCGAGTTGAATGTTTAAGCTATCTAAAGTCTATATATATTGTTATACTTGCGGAAATTGCAATGATGCTAATTATATTCATTTAATCATTTGATGAATGATATGTAATAAGGCCACATCCTCACTAAAAATAATGTTATTGTATTATCAATATACGCGCGAATTTTACTACATCTTCGTATTAATAATAATATTTCAAATGATAAAACTACTTCAAACTACTTCAAATGATAAGAAAATTATTAATAACATAAAGATTATTTTAGACAAATAATTAATTTCATTGAAATTTTTATTATCTTAAATTAGCAAAAATTTAAATATATTTTTTTATTATAATACAATATTTCTATTTCTTATTTATATGAGAGAGAGCGAAAGAAAGAGAATTAACTTATTTTATATATCTTTTCTATAACTTTTTTTTCTAAAATTTTTTCATAAATAATTTTTTTATATAATATAATCTCAAATGTAATATTCAATCACACGATTTTTATTTCTTATTTAAGTTTATAATTTTATGATATAAAGTATAAAATATAATAAATATCTTTGTATGTAGAATCACGCACACATACAATTATAAAATTAAAAATAACAAAAGGGCATACAAATGCAGGATATTCGTGTTGAATAGTACAGTTGTTTTTAATCTATTAAAGGGGAGCCTGCGTTAATTTAGTATTAGGAAATCATGTATGAAATGTATCAGCAAAAGATATATAATATAGATATATAAAGTAATAGCATTTTTTCTGTTATTTCTTACTATTAATTTACAAATAATACACAATCTATGTTTTAAAAAATATTGTTGTTGTTATATATCTAAATTGACATATATTATCAACTAAAAATTATCTTTTACATGCATTTTCTCTATATTTATTATAAATTACTTCTGATTATGTAAATATAAAAAGCTATATCAATGTAGTTTATATAAATTTATATTAAAATATTATTTATATTTTTAAATTATTTAGTAAAAATTATATTTATCTGTTTATATATTTTCAAATTAATGTTGCATTTACTAAATGAAATGAATTCCTCTTTTCCAATAAATATAAAAATATTGACATTTATTTATTTGTCATATTTTATTGACATTTAAATCCTCATACTGCATTCTATATTTCTTGGGGAAAAACCAAAAGTCCTATATAAAGTTTAAATTTTATGAGAATGTATTGTATTATTTATCTTTGTAGCGAGCAAGTATTTGATATATTATAATTTACAAATAATATTTTATGAATGGCAATCTAATATATATTCAAGCAAAATTTCAAAATCTCTGCATCATCATGTTACAAATATTATTATAATAACAAGAGTAATAAAATTGTTACGTCATTGCATAATTTTTACAAATATTTCGCTCCGTATGTCTGACATATAATTATAATATAATTAAAAAACACTGTTACGTATTTTTACGAAATAATGTTATTTAAACAAATATGATTGCTGTTAAAACGGAACTGCTGTCGGACGTATAAGAACGTGTTATGCATAAACAGAGATTAATGGTTCTTATATGATGTTGCATACGTAAACATGTATAAATTGATGCAAAATATTTCTCTACACATAATGCACTCACATTTTAAATCGGCAATTGAAAAGAAAGCAAATCGATGAATTAGTGTGACGCGAATATGATACCGATGTAATGCAACACGAACACAACTTTAATACGACACACAATGTCGACGTAATGCCGACGTAACGCAAAACGTGATGCGAATGCAACGCGCGCGTAATGCAATGCAACGTAATGCAACGCGGATGTAATGGCGATTGAGGTGAACATTGGCATTTCGATTTTTGTCATTTAACGTAATACATAAACACATAAACGTGACGCTAACATGAGTACTGCCATATAGATTCAAATTCTTATACGTTCGCAATGTAATGCAACACAGCGCAATGTAGTGGGTGCAGCGAGGATGTGACACAATGTATCATAACATAATGCAACGAAAGAAATATGATGCAGGCTGAATAATAATTGTTGCAGTATGTTATTTATTTTAACCTTGCACAACGCACGCTTTTATAGCATTAATTAGTTTATGTGTTTATATTCTTTTAGACCGTATAATATATCTAAAAATATTAAAATTTACTCTCTCTAAAAATTCTATTTTTTGATCATGTTTTAAAATTATAAAACAAATAATTAATTAATAAAAATGGAAAATATACAGAAAAATATGTATTTTTATATAATTATTTTTTTTTTAATTGAACGTTTATATATTTAGAAAAATTATAAATAATCAATGATGACAAAGATCTTATTAATTTTTAATGAAGAATATCTTTTCGTTAAATTTATTGCTAACACACGTAATATTTGCATAGTATATAATATTTAATTAATCGCCGCGATTCTGAAATGAGTATTGACGCAACTGCATGAAAACTTTCTAAACAGGAAGCTCGCATCACGGACGAATGTAAATGTGTAGAGAACGAATTCAAGAAATATTATAGATTCCTCCTGCAAACTATACAATAATACTCATTTTTGCGTTTTGAGTTTTGCCGTAGCATTCATTAACCTTCGTAGCTGCGGATGGCGCGCGAACATGTATATTAATATAATATTATGTAATATCCTTCTCATGTAAGATCACTTGCGAATTTATTTCGCAAAAGTATGTCTATCGCATTTAATCTCGAATTACTCTCCTTAATTTAATTGTAAATTTTAATTTTAAATTAATATATATATATATATATATAATTAAAATTTAAAGTAGAAAAAATCGGAGAAAACGGAAAGAGAGAGAGAAATTATTTCATGTTTTTAAAAATTGAGGAATCGTTTAAATTTGCTACTTTTCTCGTATAAACTTTTCCCCATCATCAACCTATTAAGTTAAGATTCGAAGATAAGTTATATTATTGTTTTTAATCTAACATTTTAATTGTAACGGTTACATTGAACGTTACGTTTGAATTTATAAAGGTTACATACGGGTAGCCTAAATGTTTTGATTTATTCTTCTGTAATTATTATTTGGCGAGTTGTTTTTTTAACTTTTAAGAATATTTTCTGTTCTAATCTCATCATTTTCTTACTAATCTTGTTTTTTATTAGATGTAGGATATATTTTTTAAAAACATATCATCAGTTAAAGGACAAGTACACAGTAAGTTTTGTTAAAATCTAACTCATAACGATGAGAAGACGTTAAACCGTTAGGAGATGAATTCAGAGCCACCATCATTTACAATAGTTACACATATCAATTAATGACTAACAGCATTATTAACGTCGCATTATTTATTCTGTGCACAAATTATGACAGGTATTTATCTTAAGATTTTTTTTGACTGATACGTTTAAACCTTTCGCTAAAGAAGATCATTAACCTTGTATTAAAAATAATTTGTATAATATATATCATTAATTTTGCATCTTTCTTTTGCATTTTGACTTTTATCATTACTTATTTTGTATTTAAAATATTACTGGAATCATAATTTAATAATCTTAGAAGTATCTCATATAATTAACTAGAAATTTGTAACTCGTTATTCTATAATATCAAATAAGTTAATCATTTTGGAGGAAATGGATGAGGAAAAAAAGAGAAAAATTGCAACGCTAAAATT